TTTTATTTAATTTTTTATGTATACTTTAATTTATAGTTTAAAATGCTAAGCCATAACACCAGTATTTCAGTACATTCATCTGATATCCAGCAGATTGTGCATAGATATTTAGGTTGTTAATTATTTAATTTAATTGGTCAACCATTTTTTTGTCTTCATGTCATGTCATGTCATGATATGTCTTATACTGAAATTTCATAAATACAATTGTTACCATTTAAAAGGTTAAAAATATGGCATGACTGAAGGCTTTGAGATAGAGATAATTTCCAAATAAAGAGCATTATTTATGAAAATCTGATTTTATTCATTTTTATTTCACATTTTGATTTAATTTGCCCAACATCTTAAGATGTCATAGGATGTCTTCTGGCACGTGTTTTAGAGTCTGTACAGCAAAAATAACAATTGCAATTATTTTAATCATCAACTTGTCACCATTATTCAGATTAATTGTTGCAGCCTTTGATATAGCATAACAAACACATATTTGTGGAGCAAAGAGCACATTAGCACTTACGCAACACAGAACAGGACATGAGTGAGTCAACGTGCTCTGCGTGCAGTGACACCGGGTTACCATGGTCCCACACACACTGACATTTAGAGTCATATTTGGCCTGAGCAGCAGTGGTCATCTGTGACAGAGAGCTCCGTAAAGTGAGGAGTCTGCATTCTTTAAATAACCCAAGCACAAGATAGGCTCGAGTTTGGTCGCCTTATTCTCACTGCATCTCCATTACACCCCCACAACAGCCCAGAGGGAGTCCCCACCAAACACACAAGACCTCACCTGGGGGAGGGTTAACTTACAATGACATACTCAAGAGCAGTAGTAAATATTATGCTGATCATATTGTCAAAGTACATCTATTCCCCAAGACTGGATTAAATAGAGGGCTACTCACAGTGTAGTAGAGTAAAATGTTTTCATTCATTGTACCATTCTTTGTGAGACTGGGCACTTTTGCATGATCCTGACAATGCATCAGCAATGTGCTACAATGGTAATGGACCATAAACTTTAGGGATATACAATACAGATACTGTTATTGATTATCAGTAAAAATATGCTGGATCGGTACTGGCTCCTAAATATCGGCCCTGCTGATATCTGGTAGGGACTGTATGTAATAAGCCTATTACTGATCATAGTTGGTCCACAAAGTCTGTTTCTGGACCAACCAAAGTTTGACGTTTAATACAAAGTTGTTCTATAGTTACTGGAGATAAACAAAAGCTATGTAACACAAAAAGCTATGTGACATAGTCATTTTCACTATAGACAATACATATGGCATTCCAATTTCTCCTGAATAACAACGGAGATGCTATCCATGCGATACCTCCAACCTCAAATTCTTAGCATTCATGACTGCTATAAAACAGAGATATACCGATATCTTGCACTCTTTTTCATATCTACTAGCGGTGTTAGTAAAGCTTTATTTTAACACTTTAGAGTCTAGTGTGTTAGATAAAAATAATTTATATTGAGATTATAGAAATTAGATTTAAACTATGGTAAGGATTTTTTGTCTAATTATACAGAGCAGTAAAATGTGTTCCCAATATTTATGTATATATTATTTATATTTATATACATTTGATATTTCATATCACATATTTTGGTGGAAAATAAATAAAAATTGGCCCTACATATTGGCCCAAAAGTACTGGCAGAGCTCACTGGCCATCAGTTGATCTAAACCATCAGTATCACCATTGGTCATGCAAAAACCCATATTGGTCGATCTAAAAAAAAAAAAAAAAAAATGCCTGTTACATTTCTTTTTGTCAGAAACTGGGCAAGTGTCCTACTTTTTCACCAGCAAGAACAAAAAAGACACGTGGCAGTCATAACCCGAGCTGAGCTTCTTAGTTTTACCCTTTTGCTCTATTTATAGTAACATGGGTGTAAAACAGGAAACAGGGATAAAGAGGTGAGTGACATGGGACCAACTGGAACAGGACCTTCTTCTGTTATGGCTTATGCTGTTTCAGGTATTCAACCATATGCACAATCTTTTCCAAACATCCACACCACTGCTTACATCATGGAGGATTCATCAGAAGCATGACTCTGCCCATTCCTCACAGTTCTGTAATCAGCCATAGCTCTGTGACGATCGAGTGGCCTTAGTCACTTCCTGTCTGATGTCACAGTCAGTAAATCCCGCCCCCTCCCCTCTACTCACGAATATCAACACAGACCAGCTGACTGTCATGTCTTCTTGAGCCATAGACTTATAGCAAATTGTCCTTAGATGACTCTCTACACAACACATATGGGGTAAACATGGCGTGATAGAAGAAGGCAGAATTTGTTGTTTAGGGTGAGTTCACCAATATGAAAAGAAGAAATTGTTAGTGAAGTCAGTGCACTGTACATTTGGTACAGAAAAAGAACAATGTGCTTTGCTAGACCAGTCCCGATGCTTGGGACAGGCACCAAGAGCACAATTTGTAACTTCTTTGGATTCAATATGACAACAAAAGCAGTGCACATAGAAGTACTCTTCCACACTACACAATTCGGCACATCCAGTTAACTCTCCATTGTTGGAGATTGACATTACTGCATCATGCTGGTTGCTACAGAGTCCAGAGTACCAGCCTATCCATAGCAGCTCAACTACTACCTGTGCATCCAAGGGTCTGGTCTGGCCTCCAGTGCAACACACGGCTAGTAACCTCCACTTTGTATAGAGAGAGTATATTTGTAAAGAGTCAGGTGTGGCACTTGAATTTATGTGCTAACCAGCTTCTATCTGTTGCTGTAGCGTACAAAGATGATGGTCTGGTCTACACGAGAAACAGGGTTTCTAAGAAGCTAAAAAGAACAGCAATTTCAATCTAGACAACTTGGCTCTGTGAATAAAGTTCTCTTTAAAATATATCGAGCAAATAATACAATCTCAGAAAGCAACGCAGTTTACATGTGTATCAAATAATTTATGATTTACACAAAGTGCCAATGAGGAATACTGGATTATTTATTATATATATTTATACTATCTTAAATGTATTAAGCATCTCACTGTTCAGATCACAATTTAAGTACTGCTTTTTGCAAAATTTGGGTAACAACACCATGTATTAATCTTTATTTATATTTATCTATGCAGTGTTGTATTTAAAAAAACTGCGATTACAATTAAACAGTGAAAGAAAGGATTTTAGCTATCAGCAGTGCATGTTAGAATATGCCTTCACGATAACAACTGTTTGTGGTGGGATTTGGTTACACCTATATTGCTTTAAGGGCCACTAAATCAGCTACTGGAAGTCACAAAATTACCTGTCAGCTTTACTGTTTGGGCTTATCTGAGACACTGTCCGGCTCCACAGCCACTGAGCCCAGAGATAATGCCCTTTCCTCTTGGCCGGCCAGGTTTTCCCTGTCAAATATTTATAGAAGCTGAAACATTAGATGGCCATCATCAGACATCTAGCTCTTTGCACAAGGAGCAAAGCAAGCTGCAAAACCACTCCACACAGAGAGATTAGGGAAGGGAAAAAAAAAACTAAACTGGTATTTTTATTTACATTTGTAGTAGTGAAGACGGAGATGGCTGGTGCATTTATTCTAGTTATTCATTTACCCTGTTAGTGGTTACTGTATCTATAAGGCTGTGTTGTTATTTGATACAGAACCAAAGAAACAGGTTGCAAGTCGCATAAGGACTAAAAATACACAGCCAATGAAGTCAGGCCTCGCCTATTTGAACTCATACCTTGACGTTTGGGAAAGTGGAGCTAGTTTAGCTAGCTTGGCTGGCGATGGATCTATTGACAACTCAAAGTTACAAGTAACATCTGAACCGCCCATCAAATTGTTGGTTTTCACGTTGGGCTGTGGTAACTAAGTTGAAATTCAAAATGCAATTCAAATAACTTCAAATGAATGCCTTTAATCTTAAACCAGAACCATAAAATAACTGTTGACGGTCAGTGTCCAGACGAACGAAGCACGGAGCTTGACAAATCAGCGACAGCTTTAGCAATCGCTCTGGAGTGAGTCTGGGTGTAGCTTGTGGCACCGAAGACAAACACTGCGATAGACCCTTGGCAAACTTTACAAGCCCGGGGTCTTTTTACTCTCCACTTGAGAAACCAAACGAGAGAGCCTAGAGTTGAGTGCTTCAAGTGAATATCGCAGTGTGGAGGCAGCAGAGTCAGGACTTGCCTCACTCTCCTGTCACAGCTGCCTGGACAGACTTCAAAAGAAAGCCCAAATGTCACGGATCGGAACACTGTCGCTTACCTTGCCACTCTTGGTAGCCTTCAAATGCTCTCAGGGCGCTGTCAGTAAGTTTAACATGAAAGACAGAGACATTACTGCCATTGCTCACTCTTCCACAGGACAGTCCGTAGCACTGCTCCTCCTTCAGCGCCGCCATCTTGCTACCGTTCCCACGCGCACGCACGCACTCACTCTGTCGTAAACCGAGAAGTCCCAGAGCTTTTCAGCGAGTGTCCAATAAACAGGCACCGAGCAGTAAAGCCCAGGTGTCACGTGACACAAGAATTTACTTTAGATACACCACAAATTATGGTTATGTCAGTCTGTATTTCGCAACTTGAAGAGCAGATCTACTATCCAAATGCTTAAAAAACACCTGAATCACTTAAATTAATTTTCATATAATTTTTTTTGTTATTTCCAAACCCAACCATGTTCTTACATTTTCCTGTACACTATACTCTAATTGTACCTAAAAATGGAGACTTATAGAGCCCAATTACAGCCTTAAAAAAATTAAAAGGAAGCGATGGGTCATCACAATGCGTCAGAAAGACGTCAGCAGCTATGAAAAAAAAAAGAACCTCAGGTAGGGATACCCCTCCTAGAGATGGCCAAGCAAGTAATGGACAGACTTTACACGTTAAGACGCTATTGAATTATTGTAATTCTAATAGAGTGACGCACAAATGTGGAAAATACCTACTTACCTTAGAATACTTACATTAAGATATATGTGTCAAAGAATGTAAGCTTTTATTTTATTGCATACAAGTTTTATTTTGATGAATAACAATTTAACACAAGGAATGCGTGAATTGGCTTTGTCGGCTTTCTTCAGTGATTGCCAAAAAAAGGAATAACCATCAAACCAATAGAAAATCAATTTGGTCTTATCACAATATAGAGTAAATGCTTAAGTATAACAGTTGTATAAGGAATGCAGGAAAGCATGTCATTTTAAAAAAATCTATGGGTTTTAAAATGGGGTTAATGATTTTAACTAAAATCCACACAGCCTAGTAATACTAGTAAAAAAAACATAAGTAGTAGAAAATGACAATGTGATAAAGACATGCATATAATTACACATTTTACTTGTGCATCTCCCAAATAGCAAATTTGAGATTAGTATGTACCACTTGTATACCTCAAGCATAGCAGAGAGAAGAGAGTCAAGTGGCAACCCATCAATGGCATCTATACACACAACTCAGGTTAAAAGGTACGGCCCGATGTGCTGCCGAATATAGGCTTCCTCCTGTCAAGGTTGGACTAGGTCATTACCGCAGGCTTGGTTCAGTTTCTAGCAGCTATGACAACAGATAATGCTACACCACCAATAGCTACAGCAGTGGCTCCAAATAACCATTTCCAACTGAGACCCTGGAGGAAAAATAATACAAGTAAGGTTGTTATTCAAATAAAAAAGAAAAACTATAGATCCTGAAATACCTGAAGACAGTCAATAGTGTTTATCTAAATTTAATAAGTATGACGTTCTCACCCATGATGACTTTGCCTTGTGTTTCTGTATACTGCTTCCAGAACTGGAAGGGTTTCCCAGCATCTTCTTATACATGGCCTGCTCTGCGCCCCTCTGCTCAGAATGCTTCTTCACCAGTTTGGAAAGCTCTGCGTGTATAGTCTAGAAAATAACAATATTCACTCAATAATCAAATGACAGAGTGACACTATTTGAAATGAACATGAAAAAATGTTCAAGAATCAGAGTGAGTAAAAAAATAAAACAAGCTTAGTTTAAGAGGAAACAAGAGAAAAATAAATACAGACGACGAGGCATTGAGGTATTGGAGAAGATAATGTGTCATCCTGTCCATCTCTGGTGCTTCTTCTGTCTGGAACTGCCTCATTAATCATAATGTGAAAAATGGAGTATTGTTTCTACACACCCACCCATCTATATTTTTAGCTGAACAAGGCTTTATGTAATATTTATTCTCATCAACAAACTGACACATCAAGTTAAAATAACATACTATCCTTAAAAACTTTAACACATAATAAAGTGTCCTGTAAACCCATTTATTTTTCTGTACAGAAATTGTTGGTTAAACAATTTTGTACAATGTTTGTCTTTGATAATCAGTCTAGTGGCAGCCAGTGCACATGTTGTTTCACAGATTGGCGTAGGGGGATTCTGGGCACAAGTATGCTGCTGCTGCAGCTTACAGCTGATCCAAGAAGCCTACACACTGAGGTCCATTATGGAAACACATACATACAGCTAATGACAAAATCTGTCCTACCCCCATACAAATTTGTAATAAATAATTTAATTCAGTAATAACTCTTTCGGTTGAAAACTGACCCCTAAACAGTAATTAAAAACTGCTGGAGTACAGAGAAAAATAACTGTGTACTATGTAAATGTAAACAGCTTTTGACAAATAGCAGGCAGCAGTGATGGGAAGAATACTTGTTTGTAAAATGTATTTAGTTACAAAACACCAAATAACTGCATTAAGATGTGTCGTGTAATGTATTCCATTACATGGTTTAATCAGAGTACTGTATTCTGAATACTCAGAATTCTTTTACATCGAGTTGCCTTCATTTATATTGTAAAAAACATGATGTATAATTACAAACAACTTTATAAATGAATGCAAAACGACTAAAACAATCACATAATTGCATGTGTAATGTATAATTAAAAAATAAATAAAAAATTACACATGTACGCACTGCAAGATCTGTATTTTCCATTTTTCTCACTAATACCATACAGTTCAAAGCCAAATGTGATGATGATGTATTTAACATTTTTAATTTAGGTAAGTAACTGAATTCTGAATACCACCAAATGAAAAAATAACTGTGCCAGAAGCTACTCAAAATTAGTATTTTGAATAATTTTTAGTGTTTTCGGCATATTCAGTTACTTCCCAACAGTGGCAACGCCACCAAACAAATTCTATGAAAGGTTGATTCAGCACATCTATGCATGCGTTTCAAACTATCAATTAAATGAATATTTAGCACCATCTAGTGGTGAAATAGCAGAACACTGAGAAAACAAAAAAAGTCACTTAAACACAGTACCTTATTACTGGGTTCCAACTTCAGCGCTTTCCTCAAAGTTTGAATAGCTTCTGTGTAGTTACCTTGCAAGGCCAAAACCTGACAAAAAAATAATAGCATCAATCTTGAAAAATAAACTCAAAATAAATATACACAACACTCACCTTTCCCATTCGAAAAAGTGCTTTCACATTTTCTGGTTGGTGTGACAGTGCTGAGATGCAGGATTTAAGAGCAGCTTCATAGTGATCAAGTTTAAGCTGAGCAGCAGCCATATTGTTTAAACATTTAACTTTGACATCTACAAGTTCATTTTCTTCGTCAGTAGTTATATCAACTGCAAAAGGAGCGTTGGGGTTATAAACCACTTAAAATAAAGCAAAAAAAACAACAACTTAAAAATAAACTTACCTTTTGAACTAGAATCTGTTATTTGCATGGCTATGCTATAAGAATTCACAGCAAAAGCATAATCCCCACGCTGATAGTGGGCATTGCCTCTTTCTCTTTTATGATCAGCCAGGGCAATCTTTTCTCGAGGGGGCAGTAGTTCCAGTTCAGGAGAATCAGTGACCTCCAGCAATTCCACCTCCAATGAGAGCTCAGCGTTTGGAGGGACTTTAGGGTCAAAACTAGTAAGAAACAATAAGTAATTTGAGTGCAAAAGAATGTGACTGCATAATATATCTAAAAGGTTTGGTATCCTACCTTCCTTGAGAACCATATGCATATTTTGCATCAGTAAGTACTAGAGCTCTCTCTCCCAATTCCATAAGCTGCACTGTGAGGTCAAGTGCCTACATGAAGCAATTTGATAATATAAAAAACTGCACACAGATTTAACATAAAATATTTTTACCTGGATGACATCACCATCTCCTAAAGTGAACGACAGGTCAGATATCTCCACAACAACGGTGCCATCACTTATAGTGGTCTTCAGATTGATTTTAACATTTTGTCCTTTTTGTGGTCTACTATCTCGTCCTTTACCTGGCACCAGTACTTTTTTCTTCAGCTGACCATTACCTGTTGTAGACAGTGCAATTATATACTTACTGTTCCTTGTTAAAAAGCATTTTGAACATACCTAAAACATCCAGCCACTCATCTACAGGACTTGAATCCAGTGGACTTTCATTTTTGTCTTGCTTTTCTTGGACAGTTGGACTCCCAGCATCTTCGAGAGGAGGGGGCTCATCATCTTCGAGGTCGTCTTCATTCAGAACCTCAAAGTCCTCCCCGCTGTCCAGCAACGAGGTTCTCCCATTCTTCTTTGCTTTTGCGTTAACTTTAGTGTCTTCACCACCAGATGTGTCTGTGGGTTCGTCCATTTCAGACTGAAAATATAATTTCCTCAGTTAATGAATCTATATTAATCCAAACCCTTTAGCATTTCATCATTGCCATCAAATGTAAAGACTTGCAGGTGACCATATAAAAAAATCTGGGCAACAACAAAAACAAACACACGTTTCCAGAAGTTTCTGTCCGTTAAAAGACCAGTGTGTGGCGAGCAGCAGACCCGTGAACACAACAGCAGCAGTGTTATGCTAGCTTTAATCCGAGTAGCCTTTCATTCAACATCATGCTAACTTGCTCGGTGTTAAGTGTTTTTGGAATAAATTACCTTAACTATCTGAGCAGGCGCTGGTTTTGATCTTGTATTAGCTGTCCCCTAGAAAGCAGGAATGGAGTCGCCTGTGTCACATCAGCAAATCTATAACTAAAACGCATAAACATGCTCCTGTACACCGTCCTAAGCTAACACCGTTTCTGTGTCAACAAGCTACTTCCTGTTAACCTTGACTTGCTGTGTTCCTATTGGTTCGCGTCAGTCAGACGTCATCAGAGGGAGGATACTGATCGATGATTAGATATAACCATAGATATATTATAAAACAAATCATCATACATAACATAACGCACACCTAGGTCTTTAATCATTAACTATTGTCCTGTACATGGGTTTTTGTATAAAGTTAAAAATGTTTTTGTTCGTTTGAGACTGCTTATACAATATTTTTATTACTACTGGAGGTATATCAAATTTGATTAGCCTCTGCGGCAGATGGAGTTAAGAATATAATAACCCATGAGTATTTCATGAGGGATGCATCATTATACAGGTAGATGGTGATTGTCCTTGGCTGAGCAAAGACAGACATTTAACAAAATAAAAGCAACCACATAATAAAAAATCAAATGACATTTATTACTGATGCATTGTTTCTTTTTTGATAAGCAAATTATCTGTTTTTCTTTCAGTCTAAAGAAACTTTACATTATAAAGAAACATACAAAGAACATCTTTATTAACTAGACAAGACACCTAAGTCCCTAAGACAAGATTTGAACTATCCTACCATGAAATACAAAGCAAACCCAAGAGACAGACTGCTTCATATTGAATACTGCCGTGTCATTAGAAAGGACCATGAACAGTACAGGAGAATCATTTATATCCCCCTCCCTTTAAACCCACCCATCCCAGAGTCAACATAATCACACCACCCCGCCAGCAAATCTTCCCAATGGTACAGTATTATACATCACAATAGAAGTACAGAGATGGCCGACAATCGATATTCACGGGACTGAGAGAGGATCGGTGCGAGTTAAATTTATACACCATCATTATGTCTATGAGAATCACAAAGCCAAGGACACAATCTGTCCTACAAAAATCTAACTTTTTTGTGCTATAAATTTTAAGAGATATTTTTTTTAGAATCCATCTTAAAAATCCTTCATTTAAAAAAATTGAGGTCACATGTTGCTCGTTTACCAAGCACAATGTTTACAAAGACACAAGGGCAGATGGAGGACATGTTGTGCACCTTTTTCTCCCTCACTTCTGTCCTCTCTCTGTCCCGTACTCAACATACACGTCATACAGTCAGCAGTTAATGCAGCACTGTACAATACATTTTTTTAGGAAAGTCTGCCAAATAGTCAGCACATCCTTCTCTATGCAAAAAATGACATTTATTTATAATTTACTCTGCGCTGTATTCATTGGTAGTGACTGACATATCAAAACATGTCAATGATATCAAAATGCATTATACATTATTTACAAAATTAAAGAATAGGGTAGAGGCATTCAGGAGCTGAGGATAGGTGGGTAAAGAAGGGGTGGTGCGTGTCATTACTTTAAAAGCCATCATTTGCCTGACAGCCCAAACCTGGAGATGTCCCTGTTCAACTTCAGCAATAAATCTGTTCACATTTCTATCAGAAAATTGATAAATATAGAACCAGTATCTGCAGAGGCTACAAAGGTAGATTGTTTTAACAAAGTCAAAAAATAAGTGCTGAAACAGGGACCAGAAACAGGGACAGAATGACTGACACAAACTGACATTTGAAAAATATTTCAGTCCAAGGAATCCCCATGCCCAAATGGAAGTCTTGCCCTTTGCATGTTGGCTGATGTGGTGGTCTAATATCCCAAAGTCCAACACTTAAGTCCCATCAGTACGAGAGCTCCATCCAGGTTCCTGTGTACTTGGGCTAGTTGTTGAGTTTTAAAAACATAGTAGTATGGTAAAAAAAAAAACAATTATGATCTGCAAATACAATGGAAAATCCATTTGCTTCTCCTGTAAGGGTATGAGTTAGTTCAAATTAGAATCAGATAGTAATAGTGAGGGAGGAACTTTCTTTTACAATTGACCAGCCACTTTCTCAGAAACAAAACAAACAAAACAAAACAAAACAAAAAACATAAAGAAAAAAAGATTATACATACAAAACCAAAATCTACCGATGCACAACAGGTCAATTATCTCATCTACTATCTTAGCAATTTATCAGACTCTTGACACTTAACGCAGCATGTTGACGGGGTTATCTGATGAGTAATTTGTGAAGTTGCTTCACATAAATATGTAACTGAAATGAAAATTGCTTACTTCACCATGAATGATAAGATGTTTAAAGATCTGAGAATATTGTGCTACAGACATACAGTATAGTAAATGCAAGCTACAAGCTCTGAGGAGGCTTTAGGAGAGGTATGTTAAGTCAGACTTACTGAGATACAAAGAGATATAATAAAATAACTAAATTTATGTAAACAGGAAATTATTGTGCATTTTTAACTGTGTGCTTATTCTGTCCTTGATGCTGATGCTGAATAAAATGTGCCCTTGGCAGAAATTAATAACTACATTAGATCAATAATAACAATAATGAAAATTATATCAACAATATAATAAACAAACATTGAAACAATTCATGAAAATCACTGTCCTAAATAACATTAGTAGTCCATACTTTCTTCTTGACTCAGCAGCAGCAGTTTTCAGTTAGCTACTGCATTCCCTCAAAAGTCAAAGTCAGTGTAAGTGAAATGGGCTCCAGTGCCAGCCCTGATGGCAGAGCATGGATCAGGAAGGACAGTTGAGGAGGTTCAGTGTCCAAGGCAAGTCCTAGCCAGTACATGGGAGAAGACTTTCCTTTTGTGTAATCCGGGATTCAGGCTTTTATATCCTCATCCTTTTTACAGGCTTTGACAAAAGGGGCTTGAGGGTCCTGTGTTCCAGTGGCATCCCCAGAGTGTGAGTTGCACAGCACACCATCCATGTGGAGAGGCAATGGAGAAGAGTAACGCAACAGGGTGGATGGGTGAGGGTTTTAAGAACAGGGGAGATGATCAAATAAAATAAAATATATTTTTTAAAAATCACACACTCATTGTCATGTTGGGTGAATACTGTGAGGAAATAAAAAGAGGTAGAAGGAAATGTGTTAGATACAACCAAAACAAAGAATGGATGATTCATATTTTATAACTAAAGTTTATAATAGCAGCAATTATAAAAAAGTTAAATGTAATAGTGTTTACTTTACGCCAGAAAGACAATTTTTTATCAATGTAAAGCCGAGTTTTGAATTGGTACTCACACTTTCACTTTGGAATGGGTTTAAAAAGTTGCCTGCCATTTCACCATCATCCCGAGGAGTGCCGGGTGGATTGTTCATGCCTGCCATGTTGTTGGGAGAGTTCTACAAAATATTTAAAAGGCATTAATAAAATACTGACATATGCAAATGTAATACAATGGAATTTTTTCTCACCTTTGGCAACCCATCCATGTCACCTGAACCTGGAAAAAACAATAATGACATATGTTACATAAATTAGAAAAATAATTGCTTACTGTTCAATTCTTTAAGATAATCAATTATTTTAGCTTTTTGTTTTAGATACAAATAAGCAACAAAATACAAAATGAGAGGGCCTATTCTGCCTCACTCATTTATTATTTATTTTAATCAATATAAAATAGAAATGGAGTATCTCCTGCATGAACCAGGAGGGGGCAGAAGCGTATTACTTAAGTCTCAACTCGCAACACAATGTTTACATATCAGCAGCCAGATTTAGTTCTTTTAAAACTCACCTAATGATCCGTTCATATGATGTTGATCCATTGCTCCCATTCCACCCATGGGCCCATCAGGGCCAGGACCCATCGGGAACTATAGGCAGATTACAAAAGGTCAGTAAGATCTCTATAGATTCTATTTGTATCAGAAATACAATAAAAGCAAATAACTATATTCACTCACATTAGGTCTGTTTCCACCTGGACCTATGGGATTCATCATTGTGTAGATGTTTTCACTTGAGTTTGTTGAATCTGTGTGAGAATGTCATTTTAACAAATAATCAAATCTGTTTAAATAGAATAGCTGAAAGTAAGTGCATGGAAAAAATTGTCATATAGTCTGCAATATAGCCTTGTATAACGATAGTTCTGTGGCTTAAGATAATATGTCTATATCGGGCCTATGTTAGGGGCTGAAAGAGAGGTCTGCTCTGAGTGGGAGGGTGCCTCATTTGTGTGTTCGTGTTTTTGTGTGAATGAGTGTTTGCGCAGTCTTGGCGACTGCAATGGAAATATGTTTTCCCTCCCAGTGTACGTGCAAGAGCTTTTCGTGCAAAAGGTTGCCCAGCAACGGATCACAATAGAGGCACATATATAAATAATAAATAGTGGCCACAAAAGAAGCTCTCCACAGGCCAAGAGAAACAGAACATCTACAGGATATCGGCACACAGTGTTTTGTTCTCAGCTAATGCTCCACGGACACATTAGATTTGGAAGTTTAAGTTTACAATTTATGCTCTGAAAAATATTACTGACATTTTACTAACTGACTTTTATGCAACATTAGTTTTCTAAACAATCATACAACATTACATTACTTGAATGATTAGTAAAGCGAAATTTCAGAAAGTTAAGATTCCAGAGCATTTTGCTGAACCGTGTCTGACAGAGGTTTGATGCATCAGACAGGGCCCTACTCAGTGAACAGAGGATAAAAGCAGACATCTGAAAACAAAGTGCAGAGAGGAACTCACCTCCAGGGCTAGGCATGATGGGAGTTCCTGGTGGGCCGCCTCCCCCTGGAGGGCCCTGAGGGGAAGAAGAGATGAGAAGTAAGCCCTATGTCAGTGTGTCTGATGTCACTTATGACAAAACATATATGGCTAAAGGTCTCATGTTCCTTCAAGATAAGTCACTTACCACATAGTTCCCTGGAGATGAAGATGAATATGCTATCTGAAAGGAGCACAGCATAGACATTACATTAAACATATTATTTTTAATATGGATCTTATATATGTTAGACATACTAGTATTCAAATAGTACAATTATCAAACTCACCGAGTTGTTGTTAGGGTTTGGCCATGGACCTCTTCCACCAGGACCCCTGCATGTAAGCAGAACAATGAGAATTTGTCGCAATAATAAAATACGTTTGGATTAGGTTTAGATATTTTAGTGCACATACATGTTCATGCCTGGCATTCCCGGCCCCATGGAGTTTGGAGGAGGCCTCATCCCTCCACCATAGTTCTGTACAAGACAAGACCAGAACAGAATGAATATTAACGAAGGTCAGCCAGCCTCATGTCACATTAACCACACTTTCATTATCTATATGTATGGGCTGGTCGTACGCCAGGGCGGACAGCTGGACGTGCGTCCCCACACCCCTTGGCATGTTTGCATGTATATGTTCATGGCCGCACAGTAGGAGGCTTTGGCTGCCACCACATGTATGTTATTGTTCATATGTTTGTGATAGAGAAGAGGCAGGCCAGAGAGCAGCTCCACTCAGAGGAAGAGTTTTGTTCAGCACACGATTACACTTGTCAAGCAGATGCCACACCAGCTGCTGCAGTGGCCAGTGCCAAAGTGACCGAGCTGTGGTGGCATACGGGGGTTAGGGCACAGAGAGTGTCTGCCTTTAAATGAGGAAACAAACAACCCAGGGAAGATAGGTGTAGAACCAAACATAATATTCAAAAAGTTAACTTTTTAAGCATCATACAATGATGAAAATCAGTTTGTCACTGGAGTTCTGATAAAGTAGACTGGATTATCAGAATCCACATTAAGAGGCTGCACAATAACTAGAGCAAATCATCAAAGTACTGTAACATTTAAATATAGAATTATGAGGCCGACAAACCATGTTCAGTTGGTTTAATACCAACATCACAGGTGCTAATTCTAACTTTGTGGAAGAATCAAGAGTAGAGCTTTTTAATTTTTTCCAGCATTTGTTACTTTTACATGTTCTTTTTTTACCTGCGGGCCCATGCCTCCCATCCCTCGTGGGGGATTCATTCTCATTGGACCACCCATGTTTGGATGTCCTGAAATTAGAGATTTAAATTAATAAATAAATTATAGTGAGAATTAATATCAATCAGTGTAGATTAAAGTACCTTGCGGTCTGGTGGGGTCCAGGCTGTTTGGCAGGAGGGGCTGTGACCCAGGGATGCTCCCTGGAGGCTGATTTGGCATTCGAAGTGAGGGCCGGGGGCCACCAGGGTATCGTGGTGACATGAACGGCTGCAGAGAGGACAGGTAAAGGACATGATCACTGTTGGATTTTGACAGCATCAGGGTTGTGCTTAAATACAGTACACTATGAGGTTTAAGTTAACTGTGAAAACATGTCAATGGATTTATTCACAAGCAAAGCAGTTACTTATGTCATGTCAGCAGGGGGAGCTAAAACGTTTTCAGAAATTAATTTAAGATGCTTTCATTTTTGTGGGCAATTCTATCAAAGTTTGATAAGCAAGACTTATAGGAGTACTGAGACATCTTATTTATACAAAAAGTATATTGTGAAAAGGGCTAATTGTTTTTGTTAGGTAGACAGGTCAATATTGCAGCATGGGAAGGTACTTTGTTTCATATTATTACTACTATATCACAAGTTATGCTCCCCTATATATAGATATTATTGTAGTAATACACACAGCTGTTTTACCAGCTGGTCTGGCGGACTAGTTCACAAAAATATACATATCAGAAGATGCTGTATTGAACTAGTAAATAATGCAAAGAGTAAAACAGAGTATGTTGCAGTTGCAGTTACTTTAGCATCAAATTTAAAAAACAGAAAACAAAAATGTTTGAAAAAAGTTCAGCGCAATTACCAGAATTTTTTTTTTTTTAATGGAAGGCATCCAAAAGATAGTATATTACATTTTTGGAAATCCATATATTAATAGGGCTGAATCATGGTCCAGTGACGATTTGCTATTTTGATTATATCATATGAGCCACTGCTATTTAATGCAGCTCTATACTCAAACACACGTTTCCAACCCATGCCTCCTACTGGTGATAAAACTAAATAGTGATCAAATAAAAACAGATCTAGACACTCATCATTATATGATTATCCATCCCTTTTCTCTATTATAATACTGTAAAATATTCCTAATGCTTTTTACATATAAATCTGTCCTTATATTGATACATGTCCCTCTTTTGACCGTATTGTAGTATGTTTGTGCATGAAGCTGCTCTGTGTCAGGCCATGCTGCAATATTAATGGTCTATTGATGGACTATGGGATGGTGAGGGCTGGGCTGAGGCAGAGAGAAGGCCCTCCAGACGCACCTCACCTCCTTACAGCTGGACCAGTGCAGCTAAATTATTCATCCAATCCACCATCGGCAACACGGCCGGTCCTATCCCTTAGCACAACAAGGGACGTGAGCCATTTGCTCTGTACAGTTAACTGTGGCTGAAGCGGAACAGATAAGGCGGGAGCTGAGGAGTGCAGGGGACGTGTTTGGCTCTTACCTGTCCGTGAGGGCCCATCATGGGGTTACTTGGATTGTGAGGGGGAGGCTGTGTGTGTGGAGAAGGCTGTGATCCTGGAGGGCCCTGGGAGAGAGAAAGAGTTAAATTGCCATATTCTGCAAACAAACAGAGATTACAATACACAAAAAATTTATAAAACAAAAACCTAAAAGTAGAGTTGAAAGTAGGACTATAGACTATAGACTATAGACTTTTGTGCATCAATTAATTGACTAAATGGAAGTCTAACACGGCTCTCAATATTATAAGGATCTTTCACAAACACACTGCATACAGAGCAGTAATGGTAAATAGAGATAGACCGATATATTGGTTGCCTGATATATCAAGCCTATATTTGCTTTTTAGCATATTGGCTATTGGCCTTGAATATGCAGCGGACACCGATACTTTGTTTGGCCCAACAAGCTGCCAAATGTGCATGAAAAATATATACATAAAGTTTTATTTGAACACTTTCGTCTAAAGAGTGTACTGCAGAAATGTGACTATACTGCTCTCACAATTTGTAGTAAAACAAGGTTGCAGATGAATTAATTCTCAATTCTAATTTGATAATTTGGGGAAAATGATCAAAATTGGCCCAACATATGGGCCAAAATTATCAGCAGAAGTCACGGTATTGGCATCAGCCATGAAAAATCACCTATCAGTTGATCTCTACTGGTAATATCTTCATAAGTGAGACAGTTGAAACTGTACAGTCATTTCTAACTCCATATTTAGCTGACTAATATGGAGTTAGACACCCCATTCTAAGAAACCAGCTGGTTACTTGTGTGCATCTTGTATGCAGAAAACCCCTCCACCAGGATCAGTGGTGGAAGAAGTGCTAATTTTTTTTTTACTTAAATAAAAGTACAGATGCCAGGGCAAAAAAAGTTGATTTTTAAATATGATATTTTTTGTTTGACTTAAGTAAAAGTATCCATTTACAAGTATACTTAAAGAGGAAAAAGTAAAAATATTTTGTGCATCTAATAATACTTCAAATGTAGTGATTTTGATAAAGATTTCTGTTGAATTTTGTTCAGTAGAAACTGAATCAATATATTTTTCCCCTAGCTGTTTTTATTTGTATATTTTGTACACTAAAATGAACATGTTAAAAATAATCCCTCAGCCTTTTCAGGAGGTTTCAAACCAGAATAAAAAATACTGCTACTTTTCAGTCTTGTTTAAAAATGGCATGGAGAAGAAAGTACAAATACCTGTTCTCAAATGTACTGAAGTAAAAATAAAATGTATTGGCTGTAAAATGTGCTTAAGTAAATTACAAATACTTAAAATGTATACATGAGTACTGTACTTTACTACCTTTACTTTTTTACATTCCACCACTGACCAGGATACAGGACCAACATCGTAGCCTACATTGGCCATTTTGGCATGAGGCAGCATTGGAATCACATTCCTAATTTTCTAAAGTTTAATGTTTTGATACAATGTCAGTATTTATTAAAATTTTCAAGATTTACAATAATCTCTCTGGACTGTAGTATTCATTAATAGCCATTAAATTTCTTGCTACATCGATATGATTAATCTAATTGTCCTAAGGGGGTGGGCTCATCTTGGAGACAAATCCATTTTAAACCAGCCACATGTTGCTCAGCATGCCAATAATCTCTGCAGAGAAGATGTGGGTTCAGTTGTACACACAGTCAGTATTTGATGACGCTTGTGCCAGTGCCGCTGTGTGTTTTGGGTGGTTAACACCAGATGCCCCGCCTCGCTCGGTCTCTCAGCAGGTTCACACCAAGGCTAATGCAGCACTAGTGCCGTCTGACCTCTGAGGTTATTGTTGCTGCCGAGCCCGTTTGTGTGTGTGTGTCAGAAAAAGAAAGAGTAAGACAATGAAAAAGGGAGCAAGAGAGAGACAGAGAGAGAGAGTGAGAGAGCGAGAAAGGGAGAGAGAGAATGAAAGAGAAAGAGAATGAAGGAGAGAGTGTGTACTTCTAACAAGATATCCCCGCGGGATCCTGGCGCACTGACCCAGCTGCACTCTGTTTCTCCACCCAAAATGCATAAGCAGCCTCCTTTCAGGTGTTTTAGATGAATGGACTGGACAATATTTTAGTAAAAATCATATGTCCCATTGGCATATCAACAGCAAGGTATATAGTATATATATGGAATCAATTTACACAAATATGCAAAGGATAATGTGAAAGTGAAGTATTTTTTTAGGGCATCTAATCTCACATTGAAAAGGGTGCAGTGCCCAAACCTGCACAAAAAAGTCGATATTTAATGAATCCACAAGAAAATTGTTTGGCCACACCAACTAGTAAAATAAAAGCTAGTCCTACATAACCCATATACCACCCCACAGAGAGGAGCAGCACTCCTCTCCTTCTCTTGTCTATAATGTGCCATAATGGAGCATGGCTTCTTTGGCTGGGCCTTCCTGGGCCCTGCCATTACATGTGAATGGGCCAGCATATGGTCTTTATGGCCACACTGTTTCCTCTCTGGATCCCTGCAGGAAGAGGGAAGAGGCGCGTCTTAACTGCCACAGAGGTGGAAGTCGGGCCAGTTTGGAAATGTCACTTTCTTGGTGTGTGCATGTGCATGTGTGTGCAAGTACAAGCAGTGTTATTTGTGTACTTGGGAGAAGGAGGAGGGGGCATGGGGAGCGTTAAATGAAGCAATTAATAAAATCATTTTCTACCCAGCTAAGGAGATAACAGCTTGGCACAGTACCACCAACCCATCAACACCACCCCCCTAAATCATTTCAGTTAAAGGAAGAGCTACATTGCTGGCCTGCATGGACCACGAACAGAGGAATAGAGAGAAAGATACGGTTGTGGCACCGGGCAGATACAGCTGTCCATTCTCTTTACCATCCACTACCACTAGAGGGCAGTGTGTATCTGCTCTACAACTTTAGGGCCCACACATACACACACACAAACAGAGAGCAGGAACACAAAGCAGAATGCATCAGTGAACACAACAAACAAAGCCAGGAGGAACGGCACAGCAGCACCCCCTTCCCTCATTGTCATTCCTTAACATTCCAGGGAGAGTGTCGTTGGCAGCGGCAGGCAGAAGTGGCGGGGGCTCCTGCTTGCTCACGGTATATGGCATGGCAACACGTCAGCCTCTGAGATGGAAACGTGCTATCAGGAGTGCGCGTTCTCCCAAAGGACAGCCACAGAAACGCTGACAGCCGTTTAAACAAGTTAGGATGGCACCAAATGATTTATATATCTGTGATCTGCTGTGCCGCTAAGGGGGAGCACTCCAGTTGACACGTGCACACACAGGGGTAGATGTAGTGCGTTTGGGGTTCTTATGCCACACCAACAAACAGATAAAACTCAGTGTAAATTCGCAACTGATAGGGATGAGGCATGACCAACCGGAGACAAAGAGTACATTCAAAGCATTGTTTATCTAAAGTGACTTGTCAATGAGTGTAAACTACTGTAAAGCTACTGGGGTTACGTGAGACAGGCACTTGGTATTCTTCTGAAATGCAGATCAACCATTGTTACAGAGCAATGATGCAAGAATGAGGGGCAACAAAATAGTTCCAGATGCGCAATTTCCTCAATTGAAGAAGGGGAGATTTTTTTTAAGTTTTGGCGAGACACAACTTTTTTCTTATGTGTTAAAAATTGGTTAAGGAAATGAACGGAATCTTATTTTGTCTTGAGTCTGACAGTTCGGCCAATGCAAGCTGATGTTACGTGGCCCCAAAAACCACTAAGAACCTGTAATTATCCTTCTGTCCTGCAGCAACCCAGGATTTCAGAGAGGCCAGGCCAACCCAAGAAGGCTGTAAGCCTCACATTTGAGACATACTATATTACTTTAGTAAAGTTGATTTGTTAGTTTTTAAAGAATCTGTACAAATATAGCATGTTTGTGTAACTATAAAACATTGTACACATTATGTAACTGTAATAGAAGAAAAAGCCCACCACCTTGTAATAGTAAAACTATATAATAGAACTATATTAAGCATATTACCATTTAGTTGGTGAAAAAGCAGAAAAAATTAAATAAAATAAACTAAGAAAGCTAAATTTGTACTTGTAGCCTATCCAGTTTCTATTTGAAGTAAACAACTATTTCCTGAAATTCCAAATCCAGGTTATCCAAAACATTCAGCATTTCCTTAGGTTTCTAAAACATCTGCGTACACTAGGCCGTACAATTCCACTATCATATATACCTATTAAGTAATCCTCCAGTCACCATTTGCCACTCTTTAATTCATGAAGAACTCTACCTCCACATTTCTGTTGCATCTCTGAAAGACCATTGGCCACTGTGAACCCGGGGCTCAGACTTACCTTTGATAAATAAATCAGGCAGAGCAGATGTCTCCCTAATTCACCATGTGCCTGCCATGTGTCGGCTTTGAACGGCTCCTTAAATTTGTCTTTGATATCTGGTTGCTTGTTCTTTAAATGTGTAATCAAACCTAATCCTCTTGTTGTGCTCTTTTTGCTTGTTGTCCCTGAAGAGCTGCAATTACCTGCTCTAAAACACACTGCCCTTGACTCTGGATCTTTTTTTGGAACGAGAAGTGATCACAGTTTAGAAGAAAGACGGCTAACCTAAACTAACTGCTTCTTAATGGAGTGCAATGGGCCCTCTGAGTACCTGATGTGCCACTGCATAGGCAGAGGTCGAGAGAGATCTCAGACATTATTTGACAAATACACCAGAGAAGACCTGAGCATATTTGGCATTATCTTTAAACATAAAGATCTATTTGTATTTCCGTTTAGGGAACTTTATTTCACACCCTAACTTTATAGGAGCCAACTTACTCAATATGGGCCATCTTTTTATGGAAAACGCTTAGTTTACTTTGTAGTTTAGATCCCTTCAAACAAGTTTTGAAATGTAGATATTGCATTAGTTTAGGATTTAAATGTTCTCAAATGTGAACTGTAAACTCAATCTAGCTTTTAAAACTAAAATCAGAAGTTTAACTGCAGTTGCAATAATTATGGAAAAAATATTTACATTTGGAAGTCCCTTGGTTGTTGAAAACCCTATAACGTACAAAGGAAAATAGTAAAGCACCACAAATGGACAACAGAAGCAGGTGCATCGAATCATACTCCAACATCACATTCATTTACTGCACAGGGCTAATCATCCTGGTTCAGATTGGAGAAACTTGGGGAAGGGTGCCCTGTTTGCCTGACCACCTTTCTCCAATGTCTCTGCTTTGACCCTCATCCACCTCTCAAAGGGCCACAGCCAATAACAGAGCTGGGTCACCTATGTTAATTACCGCACTATTTCACCTGGGAAAACAAACGTCTGCAATAACAGTGTGCACGTGAACGCATCACGCACACAACACAGCTGGTGAGTAAAGATGTGTCACCCAAGCAATATGTGCGTGCTAGAGTGGGATAGAGCATTTGGACAAGGAAGAAGAGGGAATGTCACAGAAAAGGAAGCCAGGCACGCAAGAAGGGAGACGTTTAGAATGAAAAATCTCCCAAAAGATGTTGCGAAATACTGCTGAACAAAATAAAATCCATTCAGAGCACTATAGCAGGGTTTAGGCTATAAATATGTCTGCAGTTATGAATCGACTGACCTTACTTCCAATGCAACAGCGCTGAGATGAGAACTATGAGTAAAATCTCAAGATGGGAATTTCCTCTCATACTTCACCTGAGAGTAAAAAGGAGCTGCAAATACTGCAGCCACTTCTACTGTTAGTGTGGGCTGCAAGCATAAATCATCTAGATGTAAATGTCATCAACACAGCAAAGAAATGTGTGTCTACATACCTCCATCAATAAACATGTTTAAAGAATTATTGTGTGAGAATTAAAAGTTAAGTAAGTTAAAGTGATATGAAAAGTCGGTTAAAAAGCATAGTACTTAACATTAAGATTGACTTATTAGGATGAGTATATGGACTTAGTTTTCTTTTCACAATTATACTGTAACTTGAATAATCATGATCATTAATAACCTAAAATCTAGACATATAGTGCAAGTGTAATCTGCAAAATTATTATGCAATATATGTCTATTCACTTCAGTATAGAAATTGATATATACATTATATATAAAGGTATATACTGTAGTTAAAGCAAGATTCTGCTATCCAAACAGTCAAGAGTATCACAATATTTTTAAACTTTTTATTTCTCTGTGTTTGAAAATGCAAATGGTCTGTGGTTATTATCTCCAACTACGAGGCCTATCCACATGAACATGTAAAAAATAAATAAATAAATAAGGTGAAAAATGTTTTAGAATGCAAGCACTTTTGACTGTTAATTTTCTTTGCTGCCATGATTAGCTGACCTCAGCAATGAAGAAAACAAGAGCAGAAAAACACCCATCCCAGTCTCCTGCCCCTCTGTCCTGCCCCTCTGTCCTGCCCCTCTGTACTGCCCCTCTCTCCTGCCCCTCTCTCCTGCCTGTGTCTGTCTGTCTCCTGCCAGGCACACTCTATTTATGGAAAGACATGTTACTCACGCAGTCCCATCAGATAGCTTTCTCCCTGGCCTCCTCGCTACTCATACATCATTTACATTCCCCGCGACCCCTCTCTCTACAACATGCTGTCAATCAACCTGCACTGACAAAGACCAGCAAATTACAGGTATGCTAAACGCCCGATATGCAAATTTGAGAAGTTGTTATCTTGGAACGCAGAACTACACATTTAAATCATTATGTCATTGCTTTATTATAATGCAGTCACAAAATGTTTGAATTTAATTGTGTCGATTTTTTCCCAAGTGCATGGTAACAGTGAAGTTTCAATACCTGATAAGTTCAAGAGTGAATAACGCATAATAGCACAGCTTTACAAACCCTTTTGCTGTCACGTTGCTGCTCTACTCTGTTTTAACATTTTTGAAACTGAGTAGTCTTTCATATTTCTCTTTTGTATAAGCCATACAGCACAAGCTTTCGTCTTTAATGTCATAAAGGAAAGTTTCCTTGTGATAGTGTGAGCACTGTACTCGTAAGTGCCATTCTTTCTTCATTTTTGTTTTCACCTGGAGCGGTACGGAGAGAATCATTGGGGCACAGATACTTAAAAACCTTCAATATTCAAACGTGTTACTAGTTTAATGTGTGTCAGAGTGTCAGATAGGGCTTTTATGAGCACGTGTTTGCAGGAGGAGACAGGCAGGGGAGGGGGCGATGGGATATGTGTGATGAAAATAGAGAAAGTGTGTGTGACCTCGCCAGCCTCAGAGACAGCCTTCAGAGAGCCGCGATGACAGGAAGAATTAGTGAAGCCACCCAGACCAGCGAAAACACTCCTCTGCACATCACTCCACTGTTAGGATGGTCTTTATCAACACAATCACTGGGTTTGCATGTAGTATAGGCATGCAAAAAATAAATAATAATAATAATAAATTCATACTAATTGATCCAAAAACTGAACCAAAACTAATCTGAGCAGGTATCAATACTGCATCCTTTATAGGACAAAATTGAACCTTTCCTGAATAGTTTTAGAAAGGTCTTGATATATATGAGACGTAGTATAAGACCGCAAAGAAATATAAAAAAATAAATAAAAAAATATGAACTTTTATTTTGCATTAAAAATTTATTCAACTGTATGAAAAAGAGAAAACGTTTTTTTTTATTGTGGAATTGAAATCAGTATCAAGTATCAAAAATTTTCTTACACCAAGATTTTAATATCTGATAACAAGAGAAAGAGTACATCTGTAGTGACTAGGAGTTTTCACTGTGAGTTATATTCATTGTATTTATTGCAGGCTAAAGTGATTGAAGGTGAATCTTTAAGAGCCAAAAGGTTGAAAAAAATAAATATACATTTTAGAGTAGTAGAAATAAATACTTTATCACTTTGGAATGTATTGCATCAAAAGTGAACACTACAAGATCAGACCAATAGCCAATAAACATGTTTATTTCCAGGAACATTATATTAAATTGAAATACATAGAGCACTTGAATGTAGCATTAGCCTGATTGGAGTTGTAGTTTCTCTTGTGTTTGTAAATTCATAAAAAGTCAGAGATATTAATGTGATGGCTTTTTCTATCCTTGAGCATACTTTCAGGTTGATTTGCATGTAAGCATACAGAATATTATAGCCTCAGATTCAGAGCATAGGAGAGAGCAGCAGCAGTTAGCGGGCCTGGACATATGGGGCGGAGAGAGCTGAACACATCTGGACAAGGATTAAGACAGCTAAAGAGGCTAAAAAAGGAGGAGGAGACAGAGGGGTTGGCTTAGCGCTTACAGAGGGGTGAGGGGATGGTGTGAGAGTGAGAGAGGATCTTACTTGAAAGAAGCCTGGGGGCATTGGTCCTCCTGGCATACCATCATTGGGTGGCATGTTGCCCATCACTGGACTGGGGGCAGCGGCCGCACTCTGCAATAACAAACAAAAACAACACTTATAACTTGATATCTTCATGCAAAGGATCAAAACATCTTCAGAACAATATAAGAATAGTTAAAATAACTGGTTTTAAAAATAGATCATTTTAAACAATAAAGAAATCATTAAAAGGTGTTCCACCAATATTAGAACACTAACGGTCAAATAATAGTATTAAATGTTTGTAGTACTTAGTAGTAGCCAGTGGCCATAGTCCTATTGTAAAAGTAGTAGTAGACATAGTAACAGAGACCAAAAGTATAAAAAGCTCATTATAAACTTACAACAGAGAGAGAATTGGTTACTTTTATTCAAGCTTTACCCAAGCAATAACTCATGTCAAGTAGTTACACAAGATAGGTGGTGGTAGTAATACAAGATAATGAACAATAATAAATCTGATGATCTTAAACCGAACTACCAAATCAAATAAAAGGATACCACTGTCGTCACTGTTTTTTCATGATAGACACAGCTGAAAGTTAAGGCTTACACAGGAACTAGTTTATACTATTCAGTGCCCGACCACAACAGACAGACAAATCGATAGAGCCTTTTATAGAGCAGGCTGCATGCTAAAACAGGGCAAGAAGCTGTCACTGCTCCACAGCCATAAGGATATGAACAATGAGAGTCTGACAGAATCACAGCACGCCTCCAACTCATAACACACGCTTTGGTCCGATTTGCCAAGTCTAGACCGAAACCACAAACCTCTGAGCTACAGTAACATCGATACAAATATCAATCATAAAGTGCTCGTGTTATATTGATGGATGGAAGAATATAAATGTGTTACATCATCTTCAGCTCTGTCCTGGTCTAAGCATGTCTCCTAAATGTATTCCTGGCAACAAATCCTTCATTTTTCTACTCAATTATCATGGTTTTCAACATCAGGAGGAGACAGATGTGCAGTTCAGAGCTCTGGTTTTCGTTAGAGGCAGTCAAGTTAGCACCGGTATTGGTTATACTTTAGTCAGGGCATCATGAAAACAAATGAAATAAAATGTAGAATGTAGAATCCATTCATTATTTGATGAGGTGATAAATAAAAAAAAAAGGCACCATGAATTAACACTGTTGCCAAAAATAGAAAATTATGAATGATAAACTACAATGCATACAGGTAATTAGAAAGCACACAATCTTATATGGCATTAACTAATTAGTATACAGTATGTTGACATTTTAATGAAAGGAAAATTTGTAAATGAAACTATAAATGAGCTTATTAATTACAAAATTACATTGTAAGAATTTTGCTGTGTTTACTGACCAATCAGATGTGTTTGGCAAAAGTTATCCAAGAAAAAGCACATTTGTTAAATCTCAGCATCCAACAATCTCAAATAGTATTCAAAATCTACTCAAAGCAATGTCTCCACAAAATGTTATGTTTGGTCTTCCCCACCCTCTAATCATTTCTGAACCATCCCTCTATGACTGGCTCAGGCACTCACTTACATAGAATGTAAGGGAGTGTGGCATGATCCAAATGCACTGCCATAGACTTCCACAAACATCCCTGCACCCATACACACACACTACATGGCCACATGGGTAACAAGGCGTGAATCTGAGGACTGCAGTGTGGACATGAACATATCCACTGGACTCACACGGCCAGATCGAGACAGACATTTATACAAACAGGCCTGGTAAATAACACAGACGGAGTGCTCTTTGAAAGGGCAGCGACAGGTCAGTGAGCGGAGAACAGTCCAGCGGAGGAGGCAAAATGTGTGCGCATAGGAGGTATATAATATCAGTCTGTTTAGAGATTAAGACTTATAGACTATATGTTTATGGTATACAGCAATATGGACTTAGATGGAGGTTTTCAGATTCTAAAATGTGATACTGTCAATACGAAATAATTATCCCCATTGGCTACATTTTCATTTTCATAAAAAATATCCAAAAGGTAAGTTCACAAATGCTTAGCCCAATCATTTCTTTTGATGACTAGACAATAAAACTCAATGCAAAACAACATTCTTCATAATAACAAAAGTATTTCTACCTGTCCCAACCTCTATTAAATATTATTTGCCTATAGTATCATCTAAAATAGGACAGTTTAAAACTTTATATAGTAGATAGGTATAACAGGATACCATGACAGGTAGGAGTTAAAATGCCTTTCTTTTTGGCTGTGCTATGAGTGACATAAAAACAAATTAAATACCTTTACAGTCAAGTACTATGTTTATTTTATTAATATCTGTTATTAACCTTAATCCGCCAAACACTGACATAACCCAGCAAGGTCAAAGATGTTTTGTATTCTCATGATGCTTTTGGTGCACACTCTTGGGAAATACATGTTAGAGATCAGGATAACAAATTTAATTTATTCACAAAAATTTCACAAGCCATGAAAAAAAAGGCATCAGGCATAATAGGCAACTTTTCTGTTAATATGAATGTTATTTTGATTATTTTGCATGTTTGACAGAATCATGATTGTTAGTTGTTCGAACCATAAAGAAAATAAGTCACTTGTTGCTTCTTTTACTTTCATACATACTATCATGCAATACACGAAAGACAAAAATACTTAATATATAGCCACATAAAATCTGTTCAAAATTTAAGTTTAATCAGGGACTTTTGTAATAAGTTGTCATTTAACCTGTAGAGGATGAAACAAGTTATTCAATTTGCACCATTTTATATTGCAGCTCTTGTTAAATATATAGTTAATTTAGAAACTGATATCATGATATTATTGTGTCAGTGGCCTTAAACATTATCAATCATTTATAGTAACACTGTCAGTAGGAATATATTGCACTTTAAACACTGGTAGAGTTACAAGCCAAGGAGAAGCACTCAAGAAAGATCTAGCCCTCGACTAGGCATTTTCTGATACATAGCAATACCAAAACTATAAAATATTTGTTACTATCATCCTATCTATCCTTCAAATGTAAAATTGCACATTTAAGCACAATAGCTCTGAACATTTTGCCAGATTATGCTAAAACCCAGGGGCTATGTTTGCATGTGTGGGTGCTGGTTCATCCTAGGGACACGGTCTATGTCAGACAGTTGAAGAAGAAGGAGCAACTTTTCTCAGAGACACTGCTGACCTCAAATAGACCCAATTAAGCGTTTTGACTGTGAGCTATTATTGAACATCGGGCTGAAGAAATAATAGGATGTTAAGTGGTGTATATTTGTGCACACACAACACAAGCTTGAGCAGCTGTGGAGCATCAGAAAGCATTATGTACCATGATCAGTGTAGAGACAGGATTCAGAAGACAAAAGGAGAGAGAGTACACAGGACTCAATGAAAGAAGTGGTACTGACATGTAACTACGCGTGGCTTGGATGCGCGTGTGTGCTTGTGTGCGTGTGTCTCAGGTGAAGCGGCAGCAGCAAAAGGGCCCCTTCTCCGTGTTGCCATGACAACCCCGACCTCAGCTCCAGCTCTCCAGTGCCCATTAAAACCCTCGGGCCGTCAATCATCAGCATGGCCAGAGCGCAGTGAACGGGAGAAAGAGATGAGGAGAGAGAGGGAGAGAAAGAGGCAGGGAGGGAAAATAAAAACAAGAGGAAAATGGAGAGATGGAAACAGAGATGGGAGTAGAAAAGAGACTGGGTTTGATCGCTGACCTGTTTGCCACAATCTTACTCCCTTTCCCCTCCTTTTACTGGACAAACAAATACCGTAATTGTGGAGTTGAGTCCTTGCTCGAGTCACTTTCACAACTCTCTAAATACAGCTTATTTGGTTCACTTTTGTGTTTAAAATCAGTTTGTAAACCTCAATAACCAATTTCGGATTTTGTTGGTATGATGACATTATGTATCACGGCAGAGCGGTTAAGGGTCCTCTATTGAGCAAAATGGACTCTTTAAGCTTTTAGCCATGTTAGAATGTTAACTCCTCAAAAACATACCTGGAGTTGTCTTTTGTTTCATCCACATTATTTAGGTATTATTAGTCTGTCTACGTCTCTAGTCTTCAAGTTAATAGCTACCTTTACCTTTTGTTCATTAGAGACCAATTCCAGGGCTGAAATCATCCAAAAGATTCTAGTGAAGGTGTATGGAGTTTAAAAACACATGGAACAAAGTGTTTTCTGTTTGAGATAAGAATTCAGCTGGAACATACAGGATTTGAGTGCTAAATGTGTGAATGGAACAAAAGACAACTCTGGATATGTTTTTTTTTTTTGAGGACACAACATTATAACATAAATCAGAAAATACCTAACAGTGCTGTATTTTTGTAGGTTTCCATCCTTGCATGGTATGTGTACGTTACCACCAGTATCACAAGATTTGTGTCTCAGTGTATTGGTGAATCTAAATTGTTCAATGGAAGTAAATACTTTGCAGTTCATGCATGGTTAAACATCAACACTGGGTTATGGTGGGGTAAGTTTTAAGGTTAATTGCATGTAGTAAATGTTGAAATATGAAAATCCTAACATCTCATGGCCAACTATTATCCCAATACTGTTGGAACTTGCAATCGTGCTACTTACTTACAATGGGCACTGGTCAGAGGGGACACAATAAATACCTTTATCTATTTTACAAACTTTTAGGTGACATATTGAATATTGGATCAATAAAAAAAAAAACCAATTAAAGAGCTATCTGGCTATTTTCTCAAGTTAAATAATTTATTATCCGCTCTGTGGCAGTGGTCCGTGAATGCCGCTTAACACAAACCATATCGCCTTGAAAACGAACTCTATTCATGTTTCAAAGCAAACCGGAGGTGTTTATGAAGGTTTATGCCATCAGAAAGGTTGTGTTTATGTCACGTTTTTTATTTCATTATAATTTACCGCAGGTCAACTGATTTTATTCAGTATTTTTCCAGACTCTTTGAATTAAGCTTGCCTATGACTGAAAGGTTTTCATTCTGCACTATTCTTTCTCATTTAATGTCTCTCTCTCTTTTTTAATTTTATGATGATTTGTTTGTATTGTGATTTTACTGTGTTTCTTATTTTGTGCTATAC